GTTGCTAATTACAAAGCTGATTTAGTTTAATAAAGAGAATATGAGAAAATATTTTAAAACTTGTCTTTGGATACGCAATTTATTGTATTATGTCATCCAAATTAAGAGTAAGTTGAACCGAAAGGAAAAAAGTGACCTCTCAGATTGCAACAGTTTCTTCGGTATCGCTTCGTGAGAGAATGAGATGAAGGGTAGTCTAAGAATTGTGAATGCGATTTATATAAATAACATCAATTTTGATTAAGTCTTAGTTGCTAATTAAATTTTTTCAAAGTTGTTTTGCTGATTTAGTAGAAGGTAAGGGGATAATAAAGAGAATATGAGAAAATATTTTAAAACTTGTCTTTGGATACGCAATTTATTGTATTATGTCATCCAAATTAAGAGTAAGTTGAACCGAAAGGAAAAAAGTGACCTCTCAGATTGCAACAGTTTCTTCGGTATCGCTTCGTGAGAGAATGAGATGAAGGGTAGTCTAAGAATTGTGAATGCGATTTATATAAATAACATCAATTTTAATTAAGTCTTAGTTGCTAATTAAATTTTTTCAAAGTTGTTTTGCTGATTTAGTAGAAGGTAAGGGGATAATAAAGAGAATATGAGAAAATATTTTAAAACTTGTCTTTGGATACGCAATTTATTGTATTATGTCATCCAAATTAAGAGTAAGTTGAACCGAAAGGAAAAAAGTGACCTCTCAGATTGCAACAGTTTCTTCGGTATCGCTTCGTGAGAGAATGAGATGAAGGGTAGTCTAAGAATTGTGAATGCGATTTAAAATAACATCAATTTTGATTAAGTCTTAGTTGCTAATTAAATTTTTTCAAAGTTGTTTTGCTGATTTAGTAGAAAGTAAGGGGATAATAAAGAGAATATGAGAAAATATTTTAAAACTTGTCTTTGGATACGTAATTTATTGTATTATGTCATCCAAATTAAGAGTAAGTTGAACCGAAAGGAAAAAAGTGACCTCTCAGATTGCAACAGTTTCTTCGGTATCGCTTCGTGAGAGAATGAGATGAAGGGTAGTCTAAGAATTGTGAATGCGATTTATATAAATAACATCAATTTTAATTAAGTCTTAGTTGCTAATTAAATTTTTTCAAAGTTATTTTGCTGATTTAGTAAAAAGTAAGGGGATAATAAGGAGAATATGAGATCGAGGGACTGGTTTGCTAAAAATTCGCTCGTAACTCTTGGGCAAGAAGATTTTCGCGTTCGACGGAGACGTCAGAGATGCGGAACAGCCGCGATTCTGAACCGCTATCGAATTCTTGGCTTCTGAAGACCCGTCGTAGCCCCGGGATCTTGAAGCCTAGAATTTCAAGGGTCCCGTTCTGGGCTTTCGCTCGCGGCCACGATCCCGCGCAGCATCGTAGTCGAAATTGGTACGAAGTGATCCGTGGTAGGTCGTACCGCTCGCGCTCCAACCGTTTCGGATTCCTCGGACGTTCGGGATCACGTTGACTATGCGATTTTGTGGCTTCATACCCGGGAAAGCGCGGGAACCGGAAGCACTCATCAGAGAGAGAGAGAGAGAGAGAGAGAGAGAGAGAGAGAGAGAGAGAGAGAGAGAGAGAGAGAGAGAGATCTCCCCGGATATTCGTATATATTTCACGATCATGATTCCACATCGCGTAATATCGACTCCCGCGCATTTGCTGCCTGATAATATCGGAATATTTAGTTCTAGGTTGCGAAATGTATGTTTTAATGGAAATCGATCAATCTTTTTTCGAGCATACGAAATTATAACAATCTTATATACATAAACGGTAAATTAAATAAGAATGACGGATATATTTCTTCTATATTGAAATATATTGTTTCTCCGTAATATAATTAACGAATATTAAAAAATTATAAATAAAGAGATGTTTGCAAAGCAAACTTAACGTTAATTTATATTTCCAAATTTACATTATAAAGAAGTATAGAAAATTATTTAATTGGATATTAATATCTTCGATCTGCCAATATATGTAAACAATCGCGAAGATATGTCACTGCAGGAAAGCGCGCAGTATGACACTTTAATAACGCCGGATATAAACAAAGGGGGTAAGCAATTGTGTCACGCAATATATGTCGAGGCCAAACGTGTCGTGCGAGCATTCCGGGTCGGAAGTTGAGAAGAGGAGGGAGAAGTAATTAGTTTCAATGTAGAAACATGGCATAAATAAAGCACGCGCGTACATGGAAGGATCATAAGCATGAAATATGATCGGTGATATGCTATCTTTTCATCGGTTTATGTGCGCACGCATTATCGGTAATGTGCGTAAAGCGCGAAGGGGAGGGAAGTAAACTTCGTTTACCTTCTCATTCTGTTTGACAGGCAAACGCGGTCGGTCCAAAGTGAAAATCATAAACGGTGGGCCACGGACATTGTAGGTGAACGGAAGTAAAATTCACGTGGCGCTATAAAGCGTAGATCGTCTCACGACCGCGATAACATCCGGTCGAGGATCGCCTATCAGTCTAAGCGGCGAGCTCTTTATGAGATTTTGTCTCGTAAAGTATGCAACAGCTAAGACACAGAGAGAGAGAGAGAGTTCCTTTTGCATAGTTCCCCTAAAAGAATGCATCTTTTTGCGCTTTCACGCTAACAAAACATGAGTCTCATATTTAAAGCAAATTATAATTGCGAGTATGCGTCCAGAACATTTTTAAGTAAAATTCCAATAGATAAGAGATAAGAATATATCAATATTATTAATAATAACGATATTTATTTATTTTATTTTAAGTAGCGTTATGTAATATTGTTATGTACGTATATACCATAATGTATATTGTTGTGCAGCATTTTTGAGATTTTTACGTAATTCCTGAACTGTACGAATAGTGAAAATATATGAAAAGTGATATATGTAGGTACACAGAATTTAGATCCAAATCTATATATATATATATATATATATATATATATATATATATATATATATATATATATATATATGTTATTTTATAATTTGTTTTCTTGCTCTCCCTCTTCTCTTTCTTTCTCTTAATATAGAATAATTTTTCTGAATATTAATTGTTTTTAATTTAATAAAATTAAAATTAAATTTTTAGAGAAAAGAATATTATACAAATATTCTGTTAAAAAAGTCGTAAATATGCAAAAATCGTAAACTTCAAAACTGATCTAATTTTTATAGTACATAACTATACTTAATTCGTTTTAAATTTTATTTAGGAAATAGCATTGCAACACAGATATAAAAATTGCGTTTTACACATGAGAGCTTATAAACGTTGTAATGATTTTTACGTCTAACAAATATGAAGATTAAATAACTATGACTTTTCGTAAATTCGTAAAGTGTGCAACAGCTAAGACACAGAGAGAGAGAGAGAGAGAGAGAGAGAGAGAGAGAGAGAGAGAGAGAGAGAGAGAGAGTTTTCTGTATAGCCCCCCTAAAGAATGCATTTTTTCGCGCTTTAACGCTAACAAAACATAAGCCTTATATTTAAAGCAAATTAATTAATAAAGCAAGTAAACATTTTGATTATAAAACTTCATATTCTATTTGTGTGTGTGTGTGTGTGTGTGTGTGTGTGTGTGTGTGTCATATCAATTTTTTCCAATTGTCAAATTAATTGTAAGAAAGATATAAAAAAATATATATAACAAGGCATGATTATCGATGGCATAATTTTCTCTTTCTGATACTCATTAAATATTTCTTGGTTTAATGGTGACAAGTGATCTGTTCGCAATCTCCGAAAAATAATTTTTTTATTTTTTACAAAATTGCATTTTCAGGAGCTCCTACTTTTCAAAAACGCAATAAGCCATATATTTAGATTGAAAAAAACTAGAGCATACATTGCAAAATTGCGAAGTGGTGTCAGAATTTTCTGCACTAGAGTTTCCGAGTGTAAATTGCAGGATCACATAAAGGGCGAAGGTTCGATGATGATTTCGCGCGCGTTATGCATGCAGCTTCTTTTAATATGTATTCGCGACTCGATCGGGACACCGGAAAAATTGCGGATACCGGAAACATACTCGAGAACGTTCAACAGAAGTTGAAGTATGTTAGTGTCGAAAGCATCCCTTTATTCTCGCGAGAGCTTACATGTTACTCCAACAATCGATCGACCCGATAGACGATGACATTTGCAGAGATTAGTGCCACTATCTTCGAACCGGATGGGCGATCAAGTTTTACGACGCTTCCGGGAAATTTCCGACAGATCTGCTGGTGGTTTGCGTCTATCAATTGGGCAATTTCGACGTATATATGTACCTGAACAACAAGACGGCGGCAGATATCCGCAGGTAGTATCTGCTTAAAGAAGCCAATGTTTAAGTGTCTGAGATTTATCTCTGTAAGAATTAACAAATCTGTCTGGCAGTCTTTTAGAGACGTTAAAAAGAGATATTGAGAACTGATAAGGAAATTGTACTGATGGAGCGTCTGCGTATTTGCCGGCTGCACAACTGAGAATATTCAAGACGTCATTTGATGAATCGCGACTATGATCTTCAGCGGTTCTTCTCTGAAACTTTGTTCAATAAAAAATATATATAAAGATATTATTATATATAAAGATACATATTATATATAAAGATATATATTATATTATAAGATATTAAATGTTATATATTATTTATTATATATTATATATTTTATATTTTGTTTTAAGTATATTATTATTATATATAAAGATTAGTTTTTTTTTTTTTTAGAAAGACGAAGATCATGTAATATAATTTCGTTGACAGAATCAATGCAATTCATTTCCTTGACTATAATAATTTCTTAAAAACGATCATCACGTAAAAGCATATTACAAAGTTATTTTTTGTTTATTTTAATTTTCGGCGTAAAGAATTGACATCTACTTGATTATCAGAACCGAAAGAAAAAGGGATAACTCGTGATTTTATAATTAGGAAACGCTCATCTGTATGACGAACACACAATTATATATAAGAAGCAAAATATTTATCAAAATGTAGAGAAGATATATGTGTTGCAGCACAATATTTTTTTATAATTTATTAACTTATAAGGATTAAAATATATAAATTTCGATTTTGTCGTCCTCGTATTTTTTCTTCTGCAAATTCTGTTGCTCCGAGTGATTGCGATCCATTTATTTTGCTTTTCTTTCCAAGGCCTTGCCTTCGACCCAAACTTGAAGATAAAGTACACTTTCATACGCAATTGTCTAAAATCATTTTCGTCAAGTTTCCTCCCGCTCCCAATCCGCTTCTTCCGACTTACTCCTGTTGTCGGTCCTGTAAATTTCGTCTTCCTCTTCCTCTTCCTCTTCTTCTTCACCAGGCCAATTAAATTTCCCCGAATCTTCGTCGGTCTCAGATTTCGAGCTCTGTCTATAATCTCCATCACGGTGATCTCTATCTTTGCTGTATTCCGTCGAGATCGAATCCGTCTCGTCCGTGCCGGATTTCGAACTGGTTCTAGTATCCTCCGTATCGGTGCTCCTACCTCGCAGTATCACGGCAGCTTCCTCGTCAGCGAACGATTCGGCATCCTCAGACTGCTCGCCGCTGTGCTCGCCGCTGTGCTCGCGTTTGATCGACGTCTCCTTCGTCGTCTGTTTCGTCTCGGACGACTGTTCCTTGGGATTTTTTATAGCGTACGCCGAGGTGCCCTCTTCCTCCGATCGGGACTTTTGCACCTGCCAGGCCTTCTTGAAAGGATGTTCCCGCTCCTGCTGAACGAGCTTTGGCCTTTCCGGTAGAAAATACTCAGGATCCTCCTCGCTAGCCTGACTCTTCACGATAGACTCCCGCTTGAATAGTCCAGTCGACGTCGGCTTTAAAAGTTCATCTTCTTTCTTCACGACGTTCCATCCGGCGTTCGTCAATTCCTCCTGCGACAAATTCGACAGATCTTGTACGGATTCTCTTTTGCTTCCCTCAGTCAACACGAAATTATAGTTGTTAACGTCTTCCTCTTCTTCCAAGGACGTCTTCTGGCTACCACTAGTATACGACTGCCTTCTCGAAGTGTCCTGGCTACTCTCCTCTTCGCTTAAGCTTTCCTCTCGCGAAGGTGGACCTTTCTCACGATATTCCCTTCGTCGCATGTAAATACCTTCGTCCTCGGGCTCGCTTGGTTCCTGAGAGGATCCGAGCGGCGTCATTCGCGCTCCAACGCTGACAGTCCACGAGTCCATGTTATCCTCGCCGGAAAGGTCATCCCTCAGCAATGCTAGCTTGCCCTCCGCGGAGGATCTACGTTTCAAGGGTTCTGCATCGCTTTCATTCCTCTCCTCGGACAGTGATTCGCGTTGCTGGGTGATCAGCTGTTCCATAAACTGTTTCCTTCGTATTCTCAGCTCGTGTTCCCAATCCTCTTCGTCGCTGGTTTTTGTTTCAAAACTTGGAACGCGTTCCGACTGCGTTCCTTCTCGAGTCGATGATTCTCCCTCGCTCTCGGAAGACAATATTCTTCTCGCGAGAGGTGCTTTCGTTTGTCGCGATATTGTTTCGTATTGTTCTTTCGCAGAGGAACCTTCCTTCCCGACAAATTCCCAAGAACGATCGTCCGGTTCCTTAGTCCTTCCTCTAGATTCGGGTCTTTCGAACTGTCGCGAATCGTCATCGCTCTCTCTTCGGCGTTGTCGCTCGTCTTCACTTTCGCTCTCTCTAGGTGTCAATTTCTTATTATCTTTGGTTCTCGATAGCGAACGCCTGTTGCGTTGAGCAGTCTCGTGTTCTCGCTGACTTCTTCGAAATTCGATAGCTTCTTTTTCGGAGTCATCCGTCGCGTATCTCTGACTATTTATGTCTCTCTTGCTACGCTCCGTGTAATCTTCCGTTTCTCTAGATAATTTTCTAGCAGGTATTTTATCTCTACTCGACACCTTCTCGGGATCGTGCGTTTCATTATCGATAAATGACATTTTTCTTCCGTTCACTTTCTTCAATATCGGTACGTCTACCGTTTCCTCCTCCGTCTCGTGTCCTTCGAGCACAGCCGGACCTCGAGCTATATCCTTCTGCCAGTCCCATCCGGTAGACGCGATCTCGTCATCCTCAAAAACATTTGCTTCGATCGTCGATTTCGCGGCTTCCGCCACCTCGATTAAGTTTTTATCTTCGCTTACACTCGTCTTTTCTTCCTGGGAAACTTCGAGCGTCGAAATGTCTGTGCTTTCCATTATGACGTTCTTTACTTCCTGCATCGGAAGATCAAAGAGTAACGTCAAAATGACTGACACAACTATTACTATCACTACTTCCAGAGGATCAATCTGCAAATGTAAGAATAATGTATTCATTCATTTTTATCGCACATCAAGCGACTCTAAATGTGACTGTCCGATTCTGAAATTAACATTTGAAATATTTCTATCATTTAAATTTGTGAACAGAATATAAAAGCTCTAATAAAGTATTAATAAAAGACGATAATCAGAGAGGCACGTTTAGAACTAAATACACGATGAAAAAATACAAGATGAATAAAGCGAAGGCCAGCAACTTTGCCAGCGCGACTTACTGCTCTGTGAGGTTGAAATTCCGAAGAAAATCTTGTGGTCCCAACATTGTAAAAAAATACCGCGAATTGTGTTAGGTACATGGCGTAAGATATCCTGCTGAAGATCACCAGCCAATAATTGGAGAGGAATCTGTTAATGACGCCTACGAAGCGAGTGATCATTCCGTCAATGTTCCATCACATTTAAATCACCGTCCACGTGTTTGTAATCAATCACTTATTACAACAGACCTCCGTGTTCCGTGAAGCAGGCAAATATTGACCAGCATAAAGCTATAGCCCACAACACCGGCCCGATTACTGCATAATGAGCAGCCTCTTCGACGTTGTACACGTAGTCTCGTCTGGCCTGACGCCAGGGTGAAAATAATGACCATGAACCCAAGAACGTTGCAATCGACCAACCCAAGATCACCAACACCTGCAAATTAGAACGTTGTCACGCGATCACGTACATAAAGCACTTCATAAAAGAATACTGCTACCTTGTGAATTTTGACGTTCTTCCCGGTATAATGTAACAATACACCGAGGCTAACACCAAAAACGTATGGCGTTGCTCTGTGCAGCGGCAACGCATAAGTGAAATTAGCGGTCTTATATAGGCGCCTTAATCTGCGATTAAAAATAATATATATTATATCGAAATAGCACGCAATATTCAAAATAATACTCACGACATTCCGTGAAAGATGACGAGAGAGAGATAATTGTTCGTTGTTGCAATGTAACGTAAAGTGGCGGACAACAGGACGAGGAAAGCTATCAAAAGAACGCCGATGAGCGGCTTATATAGTAAGAAGAACACCAGAATGGGCGCCAAGAGCGACAGCTGCATATCCAGGGCCAACTGATGCGTATGCGTAGCGCACTGCGAAAGATACGTTTCATCAAATGGATTTGATCCCACCGTCTATCTTCGTTTATCGTACGACTCACCATCTCCTCGAACGGAAAGAAATTTTGTACGTATAACAGATTCGTCCAGGCGTTCTGCTTGCAGAGCTCCGCGTTCGCCGTGATGATGCTGTTCCATTGTGGACCCGAACCCACATGTTCCATGACAAACGCATACCAGAACACCATCGCGAGCAATGCCGGTGAAAGTCTGCGAATATTGATAGTGTGAAATAATAGGAACGTTTTTCACACGAGCGACAAATTAATGTCTCTTTAGTTCGTAATGAAAATTACAACGTACCTGATAAATCTGGCGATGAAACGACAAAACCAGCGAATCTCGCCGCGATTCTTCAGCTCTCTTGCCATGTTGTACGCGGTCAGAAGGCCGCTTAGCAGTAAAAATGCATCCGTATAAACTAACGATACTCGCAAAATAGAGCTGGCCGGATTGTTGGCGAGCTGACGTTTAAACATTGATTAACATTAATTAATTGATGCCGGAAGATGATAATATAAAGATCTTACCTCGGTAAGAGAAGTACGGTTGCTAAACGGTATTCGGGCGATTGTTACAAGCTGATGTGCAACGTAAAGAGCGATCGTGGCCAGCGCTCTTATCCCGTGAATACAAGTAATATCCGCACCGCCCGTCGCTTCCTTCAATAAGGATTTAATCGTCCTCCGCAAGGAAAATGACATGATTATCCTCTCAGAATAATTTCCTGCGAAAGAGACACGTGGTATTATAATCGCGCTGCTGAGTCGAAATATTTTCGTAAACACGATTTTCGTAATTTGTCGAAACTACCTTTTCCTTGCGTTTCCACGAAATAATCTCTTACAGTTGCTACGATAACGAGACAAACGATCATTGCGTAAAAATACCTGAATGAAATAAAAAAAATAGCTACATAAATTTTGTTAATATACTACTTCTTTAAAATACTGTAAAAAGAAACGTACAGAACGCCGATCGTTTCTTTCGAATAAGTTTGAGACTTTTGTTTCACGTAACACATATTAGGATCGACGTCCACCGTAAATCTAATTCCAACAGTTTCATTGTAATCCTCTAAGGCACTTTCTAACGCACGTTCGGCGTCCTTAGCTGAACACGCCGCGGGTAGACACAGCGCCCAATTGACTGTAGTGAATTTCGGAATGAAATGACCTGGCTGCAACATTCAATGGATTGCTGAAAAGCAACTAATTTAAAGGAATAAATATTTTATATTGCTTAAATTAAATATCACATGTGATTGATTGTTTTAACAAGAGATGAAAAGAAATAGATTTTTAAAGCAAACTTCTAATTACAAAAATTTATAAAATAAATTCGTATCATTTTATTTATAAAGTTATTATTATACATATTAATATTATTTTATTTTTTTAATTTATTTGAGCGTTTTGCAAAAAATACAAGCAATGTATAATCTTTCAAAATTTATTCCGGTTATTTCAAGTTAAGAGCAAAAGTCTCTTACGTCGTGCATGCTTGCTCGTATGAAAGCGCGCCCTTGCATTAAATTGACCGGCAGCCTCATGTCTGGATGGGAAGCTTGCATGTCCACAGTAGCCAAGCAATATTTCCCTTGAATTTTTATCGGTCTCTCGTCTACTTTAACATATGCCAGCACACCCAAGCATTGATCGTAATCCCCGAGCTGATTCACGTTTCCTCGTAATAAGCCCGACGAAATCTTTGCGCTTGAATCTAGCACTGAAAGCAAGATAGCTCTTTTTCATACGATAAAAAAATAACAATTATCTATTTTCAATCAAGAACATTCAAGCCATACAACTAAAAAATAAATATAATTAGAATCTTTGACTAAAAAGTTTTGATAAAACACATGTTTTTCTCAAAAGAAAAAAAATTGCATTAAATTACTGAATACCTTCTGGTTAAAGTGATCATAATGACTTTGGCTCGTCAATGCGAAAATAGAATGAACAGTTATTTCTGTCAATCGACTCACTTTGCAGCGCCCACAACTTGTAACCTCTCAATTGTCGTAGGAATATCTTGCCGTGTTGCTGACACTCGAGATTTTCAACGTTCGTAAAATTTGGCACGAAGGTCGGCACACGCAGAATTGCATCATTCAATTCGGACAATATAACAGATGCGTCTGTACGTTCCCTCGTAGTTGTTGGCTTTGTTTCTCGCTCTAAAAGTATTAATTAATTACGAAAATATTTCCTGCAAAGTATCACATTTTGAAAATTTGAAACACATTCCCGCCTATATTATATATTGTACTTTCAGACTCGAAGAAATACGCTCTTAAAAACATATTTATACAATAATATATTTGTGCTATCAATATATATTACTTTTAGAAAGAAAAAACTACGTGCATATAGAAAGAAGTTGTAAATTTTTTTAACTATTCAAATAGAAACAATCAAAAATTTCTATAAGCGGAAGGAAATTCAGCGAAGAATAAAAGGATTACACGGCTCTGTTGAATATTACTTTAGTTAGATTATTACTTAAGATACTACCACATTGGCGCTTATTCACCTGGAAACGTTAAACATCTTTAGACAAACTCGCGCTTTTCATATTGAACCATTTTCACATAATACTCACTCTCCACTTGCGAAACTTCCCTCGACGGCTTCGAAGTTACTTTTGCTGTTACTTTTTTGACATCCGCCTTCTCCAGTTGTTTCGCCTGCTCCTTGATCCTCGGTGCAGGTGTTGAAGTTTCCGGTTTCACGCGCGTCTTCGATCTTTCGTCTACTACTTTTGTTGCAGTTTTAGATACCTCGGCCTTAGGCTCGGAAGGAGCCTTAACTGATTCAACTTTTTTGTAGTTTCAGATAATTTTTTCGCACCTTCAACTGATTTCTGCATAACCTCGATCGATCTCTTCGCGCTCTCGATAGGTTTCTTCGTACTTTCGATTGATTCAAATTTCTTCGTGCTTTCGGTTGTCTTTTTTACGCTTTCAACTGCCGGTTTCGTGACATTAGTCGATCTTTTATCTTCATGTTTTGACTTTTCCACATCGTGCTTGCTAAGTAAAATGTTAGTTTTGTCTTTATCGGCGAACCTTACTTTCTCCAACTTTTTAGATGATGGAACGCTTTCTCTTATATCATCTTTATGTCTAGCTTTATCTTTGTCGTCTTTATCCTCGTCACTTTGCAGAACCTGAATTTTATCTTGTTTTTTAAATGGTTCCCTGACTTTTTGCCGATCTGTCTTGACTATTGGTCTCTCTTTTTCTTCTTCATCATCATCATTATTGTCATCATCATCATCCTCATCATCATCATCATCTCCTTCTTCTTCTTCTTCTTCTTCTTCATCGTCGTCGTCGTCGTCGTCATCATCTTCATCGTCATCATCATCATCTTCATCATCATCTTCATCATCTTCTTTTTCAACAGCTTTATTTTTGCTATATTTTATCATTTTAGTTTTAACCTCTACATCATTATCGTCTTCATCATCTGCACTTTCATTATCACCATCTTCACTAATAATCGTTTTTTCCTTGTCCTTGCTTTCAACATCTTGATCCGATAGCTTGGACGCTCTTTCTTCCTCTTCATCATCCTCATCACTCCGATCTTCCTCCGATCCCTCATCCTCTTCAATTTCTTTCTTCGCTTCTACATCTTCATCGTCATCGGTCTCGACATTTTTTGTCCTGAAGTTTTTCGATATAAGTTTGATCGCATCCTTGTCTCTTGGACGTTCCGTGGTCCGGATCTTCTCTGTTCCAACGCCTAATGTTGACTCGGCAGGTGGTTTTCGGTCACCATCAGCAATTTGCGACGTCGTGCTCTCGTGCCATTTTCGAACCGAGTACACCGATTTCCCGGTTGCTGCCGTTTTGTCCGGGCAGACTCTGTCGTGCGCGGGAACACAGGCGACCGAGTGCGGCGTGACATCGCGTATTCGGAAGCCGTAGCAAGTAGCGTAGAGCAGCACGACAAGACCCAGAAGCGCGACGCACTTGCCCAGAAGGGCGATAGCCATGACAAGGCGACCTTCGCATGGAAATGGCGAAGATTGGACGCCGTGCGCGAGGCTCGACCTAAGACGACAACGACGACAATGTCAGTCGTCTGTTGACGTGCAGCAGCAAAAGCAACAACTTGCCTTTAAAGAGCCCGTTTAATGTCCCGTACTTGTCTCTTCTTTATCTTCCGTTCCACCGTTTTTCCTTTTGCGATCGCGGGAGAAGAATCAGCACGAATTGTCGATGGTCTCGTCGCGCTGATCGCCCTCCGACGTGGCGAGATCCCGGGCCACCACGTCCACAGCCGGCTGTGCCTTCGGGGAAATTAGAGCGCATGGCATTGGCCCAAGCAGCTAGGAGTTTTATTTAGCATCAAGTTTTCGAGGCAGTCGACCGTCGCCGTGGTGGCGACGGCAGCGGCAGAAGCAGCCTCTTCCACGTCGCAGCTGCGACTGCGTCAATTCTACCGGAGCCGGTTGATGTCTCATGTCTCTTATTATGCAAAATATGGGGAAACTTACTGCGTGGATCTTCACACGTAATTTTGCGTGTGTCTGCAATTCAATTTAGCGTTTTGTAGTAAGTTTTATGTCTCATAATTTTTGGAATTTAAAATTTAAAAGACAACACGTAATCGAAAGAGAATCTTGTACCACTTCAACCGTACTGCTTCAAATTTCAAAAAAATACTGCGGCAAGGCAAGTAGTAAATATCATCGAGGAACATTTTAAGTACGCAATAATTTCTCTAAATATATTTACAAATATTATCTGCGAGAAAGATACATACAATTTACAAACCTTGAGAAAAAATGTTTATTATGATAACAATTAATATAGTAAATTATTTACATTCTTCTGATATGAAGCTCCTCAGTATGTGTGACATATATATATACAATGATAAAATTTATAGCAAAACAGAATTTAATCGTCATATACGAACATGAAAAGATAAAAAGAGTTCGAATATCAAGAAAAAATCAAATCATATCAAAGCAAATTTATCAAAACTTTTATTGAAATGTTACGTTTAAAAAAATTTTATTTTTGATAAACTAAAAATTGACATATTTTATATAGGTATATACATATATTAAATAATCACATATAAAATTAATATAATAATTTGCACACATTTCAAAAACTTTAATGATAAATATTTGAAAAAATGATAAATTATTTTATTAATGTTGTTGGTCTTATTGTACGTTTTACTACTGTATTACTAACGACTGACACTTTATATTTACTGATTAAGAAGAAATGTGTCTTGTCCTCAATTTTTATTTTTTGAAAATAATAAAATGTGTCAATGCTGAAGTCGCTGAAAAACTTCAGATAATATATCGAGAGTAAGTATACACGAACTCACAATACTAGTTCTTCTGTTGAAAGATCTAAAACTATAATTAAATGTGTTCTCGTGAAAGGCTTTGCCTGCTTTCAGAGTTAGCAAAACTCTGTTTTTTCTTAACTTTTTGACTTTTTCAACTCTTTTTCTAATGTAAAAGTATTTTCATCCAATCTGTTCTGTTAGCTATATATGTATAACTAAACTTTTATCGGTGCATTAATTAATTTACTAAAATTTATTTTCTATGTCCATTTAGATCTATTTACTTTTTCTTCTATTTTTAAATTTTCAATTAAATATATTAGTAAATAGTTTAAATTTTTTAATCAATAAATAATTAAATTTTAATGCGACTTTCTTATAATAATGTAATTAATTGAACATAATTACACTTGATGATTATAATTATTTATTCCTCTTTAGATCTTAGTATATTGATAAACAAAATATGTTGATTCACGCATCATGAATTTACTGAAAAAAACGGACAACGGTGGTGAAATTACACACGAAGGTCATACACCGGTCTTCACAACCAACAAAACTTATTGATATGTATTTTAATTTATTACAAAAGTATCAGAAAAGTTTAAGGTATTTCACATATTATCTATCATACATTTTTTACGAACTCGCAAAATTGAATTAAATTTTATCTCTCTCGTACCAGACTTGACCACGTTTAGAAGTTGAATGGAACGATTATACTACCTAGTCAAGTGTCAATGCGCGAATGACAAAAACACTCTATATTTATAAAAGCACACTATGCCAAGAACAAATATCAAATACATAGTTCAAATATTTAACACATTAAAAATTAAGTCATGTCAAACATATTTTATTACATTTCTACTTTTTTAACTCCAAATTTATTGAGTATGTTTATATGTGCATCACAGCATTTTATTACGCGAATCTATATATTAAAATAAATATGTAGTGAGATACTTATTTGATAAATATAATCGATAAAAGTAGTAAAAGTAAATTAATTACGTCAACTGTAATTATGCAAGATACACGAAACGATTTCTTTTACCTGGATGAGTAGCCTAATGTCGGCGCATAAATGTGTGTGTGATAATAGCATGCTATTATCATTGACGACACCAAGGCAGAATATGTTACTAATTTGCCAAAATATTTTATGTACTATGACATATAAATACGCAAAATATTAAACTATAAGCATTTTAAAAATAGATATATTATTTATTAAACGATTGATATAGAATTATGCAAATTTTAATTATTATAGTTAATAATTAAAACATGCTCTTTAAAAATTGAAGGAGCGTGTTTAAAAATAAAGGAAAAAATTAATATAATAGCCCTCCGTTTAATAATAAAAAACGATGAAAAAACACGTGACATATACTCGACTGTAAAATTATGAAGAAATTAATTATCGCCACTAATAATTAAAAAATTCTTGAAAAGATAGCATGCTTAAAAATATAAAAAATGTTAATAAAATGATCTTCCATTCGATATTATATCATCCATCAAATTTAGATATAATTACGAAAAAAAATTATATGTATATATACATATATATATATATATATATATATATATATATATATATATATATGTATATACATATATTTACAAAATTCACCGCGTATTATTCAAACAGTGAAACACTTCCTGTTTCATAATTCGGTCTTCTTACTTCAACAGCCAGTAAGACAAATAATACAGTTATTCAGTTATCAGCAGCTGGTCATTTACCTATCTATAATAATTCTCACTTTCAATAACCGTAAATTATTATGTCAATTAAACTATAAAATTTTCTCTCGACAGTATAAAGTTTTAAGTTGAGAATTATGTTTATCAAAAAGAAAAATATAAAATATTTTATTATATAGAACTACAAAAAAAGTGATCAAAATGTTATAATACAAAATTTATTTGAAGTTTATTTATTGTATATTAAATTTATTTATTGTGTTTTAAATATATTTAATTATATTAATATATAAATATTACAATGACAGATTGTTTGTTTGTCCTCGCAATGATCTTTAAACACGTAGACCGATTGAAATGAAAAAGGATTGATTCTTTATTAGCTTGAGAATATTATATGCTGCATAATATATTCTTCTGAAAAAAACTTTTTTGGAGGTGAATATGCATAAAAAAATTTTTTTTAGCTTTTAATGTCAATGTGTTCGAAATGTATTAAACCGTCAAAACTCGGCTGTGTAATATATTCTTCGGAGACATTTTTTGAGAGGTGAGTATGCATAAAAAAAATGTTTGTCAAAAAAGTCGAAAGTCAGTTTAATGTCAAAATAATAGCAAAAAGAATTTTCTCAGAAGAATATATATGTATAAAAATTTTTTGAAGAAAAATATATATAAAATCCTTAAATTTCGACCTTTTAATACATTGCAAGCACATTGACATTAAAAGCTGAAAAAATGTTAACACAGTCTAACATTCCCAAAATGATAAAGAATCAATTCTTAAAGTTTTATTTTAATCGATGCAATCGTTTTTTATAGTTTTTTATCGATTTTTTATCAAGAATATTTTACAAAAATTTAATAAAACACACACAAATATGTATATATTTATTTATTTAAAACTCAACTAATTAATATTCCCGTATGTACATATATAAATTGTGATGTAGCCAATGTTGAATTAAAAATTTTGATCGCGATAAATTAAAAATACTTCTATTCTTGTAAACGGCGGTAGATCTTCAACCATATTCCAGATTTACTTTTCAACGTGTTACTCATCGGTTCAAATTGTAATGGAATAGCAGTCTTTCCACTTAGCTCCACTTTATAATTTGCAATAAGAGTAACAAGACCTACTTTTGTTTGGAGGTAAGCAAATTTCATTGCTGTTTACAAAAAAAATAAATATTAAACGAAAAATATACACTAATAATAATTTTATATAATATAATATAAAGCAAATATATAATATAAAAAATAATTTCTTCTAGTAGTATTAATGTTTTGCAAACTGTAAGAGATATTAATGTACACCGAGCAAAATAACATTATTTAAAGGTTGTTCAATAATTAAATATTTAAATAAATTACCAATACAGATGCGTGGTCCACTGCCGAAAGGTAGATATGTGCCATTATGATGAAGCTTCTTATTTTCACTAATAAATCGATCCGGATCGAATACATTTGGATTTTTATAATAAAGCGGATCATGATGGATTGCATAAATGGGCACGATAACTTTTGTGCCTTTTTCTAAAATAACATCAGAATCCGGAATTCTGTATGGTTCTTTGCAGATTCTTTGTGTCGCACCAATAGGTGGATACTTCCTAAGTGATTCTAAAAGTGTGACATCTCTTTAAAATTGTCGATATCTCTTCATTAATATAAACATAATTATATAATGATATATTATCGTGAAATATCAAATTATGTGTCCTATTCTATTTTTTTCTTAGCATCTCATATAATACATAAAAATTGCAACAATATTAAAAAACCACGTACTTAATTATTCTGAATTGAAATAAATAAGAAATTATTGATACGTAACTTCTATTTTATCTTTTAATATAGATTAGTGATTATTGATCTTCAGTGATAATTTTATACTGCTGTTACTGAAACAATTCAATTCTATCGCTGGAAATATATTGCGATTTGTGCGATACATTTCACAAACGTATTTACATTTTACTATTTAATCATCAAAATGTCCATACGAATGAAAACTTACCGCGAACGATGCAATCGAGATAATTCATTTCGGATATAGCATTGTAAGAGAAACAGCCGTGCTTCTTGTAGGTGATTTGTATTTCGTCGTATAATTTTTCTTGAATCTTAGGATTAGCTGCCAATTCATACATAGCAAAGCTCATAGTCGTTGCTGGGCTGTCGAAGCCAGCCACAAAAAATAGTGCAGCCTGAGCTGTGATTACCTTGTCATCGATAACTAAAACATGTGTCGAAACAATCGATCTTTATGCACTTTGCAAGAATTTCAAGAAATATATTTAAATGGATTATTTTTATGTACATATATCTTCTCAAAGTTCAATTATTTTAAATTTAGACTTATACAAAAGTTATGTTTTTTCCGTAATAATGTTATTCTCGAAAAACGCGCCGATTGTAATATTATATTAATATTATACATAAATATTAAATTATATAGAAATATATAAATATTATATATAATTTAATTAGCTGTGCTTAAAATAAAAGTATTTTAGACAAAAAATGAAATATTTTTCTAATACCTATATCATTAGATCCAAATGCCATGTTTTGCGAATGTTTTGGCGTATCTTCTATTTTTGTTTCCTTATATTTTAAATCTATCAAAGTTTGCATAAAATCATTTCGCCTTGTATTATGCATTTCTCTGTGTGCAATTATTTCTTTCACTAACTTTGTGAAATAGGTAGTAACCTATATATATAAGATGCATTATTATCAATATAAATTATAAACAAACATCTTTCTCTTGCTGTTTATTTATAATAATAATAAATTGATACATTACATCTGGAGGTGTAAACCGAATTGATAACCATTTAAATACTTTTGGCATATAATCGCGTATATATCTCCTCATCGATATATCTAACGACGGATCTACGAGTTTCATACACATTTTTCGAAATTCGGAATCATCATTTTGTATCGTATTCATTTGGAGCCCGAATAAACTGGTTGTGGCGATTTCACTGGTGATTTTGGCAGCAAGATCTCGAAATTCGACAGGCTCTTCATTGGCTGCGTATTGCTCTAAAAATTGCTAAACCACACCATTCCATTAATTTTATGCAAGATCTATAACTTGACAAATAGTGAGGTACCTTAAACTGTTCTGACACTTTCGTGATTAATTCAAACATATGTCGAATTTTGCTGCTTGTGAAGACATGTGTAAGGTTCGTGCGCAATTTTTGCCACAGTTGTCCATTGATATTAATTAAATGTGCGCTAAGCGGATCAGTGTCTTCGTTTATCACAATACCACGGCCTAAATAGAACTATGAATAAATAATTGCAATCACCAAGTGTAATTGTATTAATTCGAATACAATTAACATGCTACAAAAGTCACATTAAAATTTTGTCATTTATTGCTTAAAAAAATTAAAACTATTTATTACTAAATTTGATTACAATTATAAGAATAGAAAAAAAGCATAAAAATGCATAAAATTTAACACAGAAATTTAATTTTGAAGAAACTAATTAGGACAACGACAAAATGTTAAATATACATAGGACAAATTGGATGAAAATACTTTTACATTTGGAAAAATATTTTAAGAGGACCAATTTTTGCAGTAACTTACTTTGAAAGCAGGCAAAGTCTTTCACAAGCACACGTTTAATTAGTTTTGGATCTCTCAGCAAAAGAATCGGTGTTGTGAGTTCATAAGTCCCGACGAACGGATATCCTTCGTACTGTTTATATAACATCTGAAGACTTTCAGCAATTGTAATTTTCAATCTTGATGCATTTCGACTATTTCCGAAAAACGAAAATTTAAGACAAGGCACGTTTCTTCTTAACCAGTAGGTATGAATTCTCGTCCAGTAGTAATAGTACAATAGTAAAACGCATGACGAGATCAGCAGCAATAATAAAACCATTGTTTATAATTAATGAATTATAATACCATAAAATGTTTAACATTAAAGTTTCTGAAAATATACAAATTATATGGATAATTACCTTAAAGTAGCACTACTTAATAAAGTTAAATAAAATTAAAATTTTATTTCATTTTTAAATTTAAATAAACACAATGCACCTATATACATATATATATATATATATATATATATATATATTATATCGATTATCAAATAATTTATTACACGCTTATATTTGATTTATAAATGAACAAATATTTAAAAGGTTTCTGAATTTATAAATGAAAATGATTAAACATTTATATACTTTCATTATACTTACATTTTTATGTTTGTTATTTAAGCTTTGTATTATAAATATGTCAGTCTCTTTGAGAAATATTATTTTGATATTCGAAAGATGCGCGAACAACTGCAAACTATATTGAGAAATGCAGTATTATATACTTTTGTATAACAAATATATATATATTTTGTTTTTTTAAATCTCATATAAAGTTTAGTTTCTTTTAATCAAATAAGATGAAGATATTATTTTTTCTTTCTGTATTTATTTAATGTTGATATCTACAGCGTTATCAGCAGCTGGTCATTTACCCATCTATAATAATTCTCATTTTCAATAACCGTGAATTGTTATGTCAATTAAACGATAAAGTTTTAAATATTAGTACACCTTATCTCTCGATAGTATACAGTTTTAAGTTGAGAATTATGTTTATCAAAAAAAAATACAAAATATTTTATTATATAGAACTACAAAAAAAGTGATTGAAATGTTATAATACAAAATTTATTAAAAGTTATTTATTATTTTTTAAATATATTTACTTATATTTATATATATAAATATTACAATGACAAATTGTTTGTTTGATCTCGCGATGATCTTTAAAAAAAGGAAAACCGATTGAAATGAAAAAGGATTGATTTTTTTATTATCTTTGGAATATTATATGTAGCATAATATATTCTTTTGAAAAAACTTTTTTGGAGGTAAATATGCATAAAAAATTTTTTTTAGCTTTTAATATCAATATGTTCGAAATGTATTAAAACGTCAAAATTCGGCTGTGTAATATATTCTTCTGAGAAAAATTTTTTGAGAGATAGGTATACAAAAAAAATTTTTTTTGTCAAAAAATGTCAAAGTCAGTTTAATATCAAAAAAATATCAAAAAGAATTTTCTCAGAAAAATATATATAAAAATTTTTTTCTAAGAAAAATATATATAAAATCCTTACAATTTTGATCTTTTAATACATTTCAAGCACATTGACATTAAAAGCTGAAAAAATGTTAACACAGTCTTACACTCCCAAAATGATAAAGAATCAATTCTTAAAGTTTTATTTCAATCGATCTATATTTGAAATAAATCTCAAACATCGATAATCGACATAACAATTGACATATTATTTTTTATCAAATCTATCCAACTGACAAACTCTGTGTTTTTATATAAATAGTATAGATAAACTAATAATAAACTCAATAAATAAAACTAATAAAAATAAAAATATAATTTATTAATTGTTTGACCTGACTGGCCAATGCAAATTGTTAAATACACAACGTTTCGTGCCTTGGACATGGGTCTTTATCAAGTGTTACTTTCAAGATGTCAATTACAAAGATGCAGGATTAATAATATATTAGTTGAAACGTTGTGTATTTAACAATTTGTATTGGCTAGTCAGGTCAAATGATTAATAAATCATATTTTTATTCATCACTGGCAACTTTATTTTAATTATATAATGTCTAATAAAAATAAATTACAAAAAAAGTAAAATCTTCGAGAAACAAAAGCTTCGAGGCCCGCGCAAAGCGCAGGCCGAAACGCTAGTATTTTATAATAGCCGAACTGATAAATTTGTCCTTTGCCTTATTATTATTAATATCGGGGAAGATCAAATTAAAAAGGTAAAATGACATTATTATACTTTGATATTATTAGACTATTAGTAAAATACATTAAAGATATAAAAATACTATTTCTATATTTTTATATTATTATTATATATAATTTAATTAGCTGTGCTTAAAATAAAAGTGTTTTAGACAAAAAATAAAATATTTTTCTAATACCTATATCATTAGATTCGAATGCCATGTTTTGTGATTGTTCTAACGTATCTCTCTCTCTTATCTTTGTTTCCTCATATCTTAAATCTATCAAAGCTTGCATAAGATCATTTCGCGTTGTTTTATTACGTTGTGTTAATTCGAATACAATTAACATGTTACAAAAGTCACATTAACATTTTATTATTTATCGCTTAAAAAAATTAAAACTATTTATTACTAAATTTAATTACAATTATAAGAATAAAAAAGAGTATAAAAATGCATAAAACTCGACATAGAAATTTAATTTTGGAGAAACTAATTATGGCAACGACAGAAAGTTAAATACGTAGGACAAATTGGATGAAAATACTTTTACATTAGAAAAAGTATTTTAAGAGAAACAATTTTGCAGTGATTTACTTTAAAAGCAGGCAAAATCTTTCACATACATACATTTAATTACTTTTGGATCTCTCAGCAAAAGAACCGGTGTTGTGAGTTCATAAGTTCCAACGAACAGATATCCTTCGTACTGTCTATATAACATCTGAAGACTTTCAGCAACTGTAATCTTCAACCTCGATACATTTCGGCTATTTCCGAAAAACGAAAATTTAAGACAAGGCACGTTTCTTCTTAACCAGTAGGTATAAATTCTCGTCCAGTAATAATAATACAGTAGTAAAACGCATGATGAGACCAGCAACAATAATAAAATCATTGTTTATAATTAATGAAATATAATACCTTGAATTGTTTAACATTAAAGTTTCTGAAAATATACAAAGTATAAGGGTAATTACACTAAAATAACGTTACTTTATAAAGTTACATAGAATCAAAATTTTATTTTATATTTAAATTTAAATAGACACAATTGCACATACTCACACACACACACACACACACACACACACACACACACACACACACACACACACACACACATATATATATATATATATATTATTATTATTATGTCGATTATTGAATAATTTTAAACGTTTTATATATATTAAATTCGTAAATAACCAAATATTTAAAAGGTTTTCAAATTTATAAAGGGGATGATTAAACATTGATATACTTTAAGTATACTTACATTTTTATGTGTGTTATTTAAGTTTTGTATTAAATATAAATATGTCAGTCTCTTCGAGAAATATTATTTTGATATTTGAAAGATGCGCAAACAACTGCAAGCTACATTGAGAAATGCAGTATTATATACTCTTGCATAACGAATATATGTATGTTATTTTTTTAGATCATGGTCTAATATAAAGTTTACTTTTTTTAATCAAATAAGATAGAGTTATCATTTTTTCTTTCTGTATTTATTTAATATTTATATCTACTAATCTAAAAAAAACAACTTACATATATTCGTTATGCAAGAGTATATAATACTGCATTTCTTAATGTAGCTTGCAGTTGTTCGCGCATCTTTCAAATATCAAAATAATATTGCTCGAAGAAACTGACATATTTATAATACAAAACTTAGATAACACACATAAAAATGTAAGTATAATGAAAATATATCAATGTTTAATCATTTCTTTATCAATTTAGAAGTCTTTTAAATATTTGTTTATTTACAAATCTAATATAAAACGTGTAATAAATTATTCGATAATCGACATAATAACATATATATATATATATATATATATATATATATATAACATATATATTATATATGTGTGTGTGGGTATATGTGCAATTGTGTCTATTTAAATTACCCTTATAAATTGTATATTTTCAGAAACTTTAATGTTAAACAATTCATGGTATTACGATTCATTAATTATAAACAATGATTATATTATTACTGCTGGTCTCGTCATGCATTTTACTATTGTACTATTACTACTGGACGAGAATTCATACCTACTGGTTAAGAAGAAACGTGCCTTGTCTTAAATTTTCGCTTTTCGGAAATAGTCGAAATGCATCAAGATTGAAAATTACAATTGCTGAAAGTCTTCAGATGTTATATAAACAGTACGAAGGATATCCGTTCGTCGGGACTTATGAACTCACAACACCGATTCTTTTGCTGAGAGATCCAAAACTAATTAAACGTGTGCTTGTGAAAGACTTTGCCTGCTTTCAAAGTAAGTTACTGCAAAAATTGGTCCTCTTAAAATATTTTTCCGAATGTAAAAGTATTTTCATCCAATTTGTCCTATGTATATTTAACATTTTGTCGTTGTCCTAATTTGTTTCTCCAAAATTAAATTTCTGTGTTAAATTTTATGCATTTTTATGCTTCTTTTCTATTCTTATAATTGTAATCAAATTTAGTAATAAATAGTTTTTTAAGTGATAAATAATAAAATTTTAATGTGACTTTTGTTAATTGTATTCGAATTAACACAATTACACTTGGCGATTGCAATTATTTATTCATAGTTCTATTTAGGTCGTGGCATTGTGATAAACGAACATATTGATCCGCTTACCCTAAATTTAATTAATATCAATGGACAACGATGGCGAAAATTGCGCATGAAGCTCACACATGTCTTCACAACCAACAAAATTCGACATATAATTGAATTAATCACAGAAGTGTCAGAAAAGTTTAAGGTATCTCACTATTTGTCATATTATATATAAATCGTGCATTAAATTATAGTAATGGTCTTGTTTAGCAATTTTTAGAGCAATACGCAGATAATGAAGAGCCTGTCGAATTTCGAGATCTTGCTGCCAAAATCACCAGTGAAATCGCCACAACCAGTTTATTCGGGCTCCAAATGAATACGATACAAAATGATGATTCCGAATTTCGAAAAATGTGTATGAAACTCGTAGATCCGTCGTTAGATATATCGATGAGGAGATATATACGCGATTATATGCCAAAAGTATTTAAATGGTTATCAATTCGGTTTACACCTCCAGATGTAATGTATCAATTTATTATTATTATAAATATTATTATAAATAAACAGCAAGGGAAAGATGTTTGTTTATAAATTATATTGATAATAATGCATCTTATATATATAGGTTACTACCTATTTCACAAAGTTAGTGAAAGAAATAATTGCACACAGAGAAATGCATAAAACAGCGCGAAATGATTTTATGCAAGCTTTGATCAATTTAAAATATGAGGAAACAAAGATAGAACACACACACACACAATCACAAAACATGGCATTTGAATCTAATGATATAGGTATTAGAAAAATATTTCATTTTTTGTCTAAAATACTTTTATTTTAAGCACAGCTAATTTAATTATATATAATATTTATATATTTCTATATAATTTAATATTTATTAATAATATTAATATAATGTTATAACCGGCGCGTTTCCCGATAATAACATAAGTAGGGAAAAAACAAAACTTTTGTATAAGTCTAAATTTAATTTAATAGAATTTTTTGAGAATATATATAATACATATGTACGTAAAGAATAATCTATTTAAATATTTCTAAAAATTATTTAGGTGCAAAGTGCATAATGATCAATTATTTTGACTCATGTTTTAGTTATCGATGACAAGCTAATCACAGCTCAGGCTGTACTATTTCTTGTGGCTGGCGGCGATAACCCATCAACGACTATGAGCTTTGCTATGTATGAATTGGCTGCTAATCCTAAAATTCAAGAAAAATTGTACGACGAAATACAAATTACCTACAAGAAGCACGGCTGTTTCTCTTACGATGCTATATCCGAAATGAAGTATCTCGATTGCATTGTTCGCGGTAAGTTTTCATTCATCCGTATGGAAATTTCGATGATTAAACGGTAAAGTGTAAATATGTTTGTGAAATGTATTGCACAAATCGCAATATATTTCTAGGGATCGAATTGAATTGCTTCAGTAACAGCTAGTATAAGATCAATAATCATTGAGTTAATTAATACCAGCTTATCCACTAATCTAGAAGTTACTTATGAATAATTTTTTATTTATTTCAATTAAGAATAATCACGTAGGTTTTAATACTGTTGCGATCTTCATGTATCGTATAAAATGCAAAGAAAAAAAGGAAAGAGACATATAATTTGATATATATATATATATATATATATATATATGTATATATTTCACGATTATACATATATATCGTTATATAATTATGTTTATATTAATAAAAAGATATCGACAATTTTAAAGAGATGTCACTTTTAGAATCACTTAGGAAGTATCCACCTGTTGGTTCAACACAAAGAATTTGCGAAGAATCATACAGAATTCCCGATTCGGATGTTGTTTTAGAAAAAGGCACAAAAGTTATCGTGCCCATTTATGCAATTCATCATGACCCGCTTTATTATAAAAATCCAAATGTATTCGATCCGGATCGATTTATTGGTGAAAATAAAAAGCTTTATGATAATGACACATTTCTACCTTTCGGCAGTGGACCACGCATCTGTATTGGTAATTTATTTAAATATTTAAATATTCAAATTAAAAAGTTTTGAATGGCCAGTGATGATAAAAATTATTTATTTTTATTCATATACCATCAAACTGTCTATGAAGGATAAAACATGATAGCAACCATAGTGTGGTCAGGAAACAGGATAAAACGTGAACATGATTTTTTGTGATCGAATCCGACGGTTTTACATTGTGCACACACAAGAAAAAGGAAGATAGCAGAAATATTTTATATTAAAAATCGTTATAATACAATTAATTTACATAGGGACACGGAAAATTTAAATCCTATATACGACGAAATAATAACAACCACGTGAAAAACTTTTTTAAATAAACATAGGTTGCCTCACTGTGTTTCTCGGCTGTATTTGACATACATGACTTGTCACTTTACAAAGTCAATTTAATTGCGAAATATCTATTTTAATATTTGACAATCTTTAATATGTGTGAAGGAAATTCTGTGCGGAGTTCTCATGCTGTCGTGATCTATTTAATTTAATATAAGGTATTAGAATTTGTGAACTGATATATTTTTATAATTTTGTATTCTCTCAACAAAAAATTATTTTATTACTTGAAAAGGACCGAAATCAATGGTCAAAACGTAGTGATCTACCTTTATATAACTATAGCCAGTTTCGACGTATATAAATGAAAATATTTAATTATTATTGAACAATCTTTAAATAATCTTATTTTGCTCTGTGTACAAATCTCTTACATTTTGCAAAACATTAATACTACTAGAAAAAATTATTTTATATATTATATACTTGCTTTATATTATATTATATAAAATTATTATTAGTGTATACTTTTCGTTTAATATTTTATTTTTTTTGTAAATAGCAATGAAATATGCCTATTTCCAAGTAAAAGTAAGTCTTGTTACTGTTATGGCAAATTATAAAGTGGAGCTAAGTGAAAAGACTGTTATTCCACTACAATTTGAACCGACTAGTATGACGTTGACAAGTAAATCTGGATTATGGTTGAAGATCTATCGCCGTTTACAAGAATAAAAATGTCATAAATTTTTAATTTATGACAATCAGAATTTTTAATTCAACATTGGCTACATTGCAATTTATATATGTACATACGGGAATATTAATTAATTGAGCTTTAAATAAATAAATATATATATATATGTGTGTTTTATTCAATTTTTGTAAAATATCCCTGATAAAAGATCGATAAGAAACAATGGAAAACAATTGCATCGTTTTTAATCATAGTTATGAATCAAAAGTTAAAAAAAAAATATCGTTAATGTATAAGTTTTGATTCTAACGTTTCTTTTCGTAAGAATCTTATTAATGTATTATCGTTTCTTTTCGCTAATAATCGTGGATATACGAAAATCTATAGTAAATTAATGATAAAAGTTCTATCGTTTCCTTTAATAATTATTAAATATTTATTCTTAAAAACACATATTCAAACATGACGCTCAGAAGATGTTTAACATCTAGCATGATTAACAATTATAAGTTTCTTTTCTTAATTGTATTTTGTTTTTCTGACTTCACATTCGGATTCAGCGGATCAAATTACATTAAAAATGACTTTTGTACTTCATTTGTAAGGAAATAGTAAAGATTTAAATAAGAAAATACATACCATTTTTTATATAACTGACAAAACCGAGGTCATTATTTAACATTTTTCAAAATCGCCACATGGCATAAAAAAAGATGCTTCAAGCTAAATTTTGGTACCTTGGAAGTTAAATTTACTTTAATACAATTTTGGGCAAAGGGGTGGCCGATTTGACGTGGAATTACTCATATATATATATATATATATATATATATATATATATATATATATATATATATATATATATATATATAGTGAAAACACGAAATGACTAAAAACTCAACCTAATATAATAATTCTCATTTACAATAACGTACATCAGTAAGACAATTAAATTATAAAAATTTAAGTTAAGAATTATATTTTTCAAAAAAAAAATACAAAATATTTTAATATAAAGAACTACACAAATAATAAAATATGTCATAATACAAAATTTAATTAAAGTTAATTTTTCTAAATCGAATAGCACAAAATTATTTATACGATAATTGAACAATAATTCATTAATTTGACGTTCTAAATATGTATTACTTTTGTATTACTTGTGCATAATTGTAATTTTATATTATACGTCTTAGATAAAATTTCACTAAAAATCAATGTATTGTATAAAAAAAGACGAAAAGGTTATTTAAATTAAATTCATTATTGTTTTTTAAATATATTTACATAAATTAATATTGAAATATTACATGCAATGACTGATTGTGTGGTATTTATTCACATACATAATAAATCATGTAAATATTATTGTTAAATAAATACAGAAAGAAAAAATGATACTCCACTTCATTTGATGAAAAGAAAGTAACTTTATATCAGACCTTGATCTAAAAAAACCAGATACATATATTGGTTATGCAAGAGAAAGTATATAATACTGCATTTCTCAATGTAGCTTGCAGTTGTTCGCGCATCTTTCGAATATCAAAATAATATTTCTCGAAGAAACTGACATATTTATAATACAAAACTGAGATAACACACACATAAATGTAAGTATAATTATAGAAAGTATATCAACGTATAATCATTCTCTTTATAAATATGGAAATCTTTTAAATATTTGCTTATTTACAAATCTAATATAAAATGTGTAAAAAATTATTCGATAATCGACATAATAATATACATATATATATATACATATATGTGCGTGTATATGTGCAATTCTGTTTATTTAAATTTAAATATAAAAGAAAATTTTGATTTCATTTAATTTCCTTAATTAAAGTTACTTCAATGTAATTATCGTTATAATTTGTATATTTTCAGAAACTTTAATGTTAAACATTTTATGGTATTATAATTCATTAATTATAAACAATGGTTTTATTATTGCTGCTGGTCTTGTCATGCGTTTTACTATTGTACTATTACTACTGGACGAAAATTTATACCTATTGGTCAAGAAGAAATGTGCCTTCTCTTAAATTTTCGTTATTCGGCAATAGTCGAAATGCATCGATGTTGAAGATTACAGTTGCTGAAAGTCTTCAGATGTTATACAAACAGTACGAAGGATTACCATTTATCGGTATTTATGAAGTCATAACACCGGTTCTGTTGCTGAGAGATCCAAAACTAATTAAATATGTGCTTGTGAAAGACTTTGCCTGCTTTCAAAGTAAGTCATTGCACAAATCTTTTCTTTTAACTATTTTGATATCGTATATGTATATTTAACTTTTTGTCGTAACACTAATTAATTTCTCCGAAATTAAATCTATGCGTCAATTTATATCCAATTACTTTTTTTCTATTTTTATAATTATAATAAAACGTAGTAATACATAGTTTTATTTTTCTTAATCAATAAATAATAAAATTTTAATGTGACTTTTGTAGCATGGTTATTATATTCGAATTAACACTCTACAATTGCAATTATTTATTCATAGTTCTATTTAGGTCGTGGAATAATGATAAACGAACATGTTGATCCGCTTAGCGCAAATTTAATTAATATCAATGGACAACGGTGGCGAATATTGCGCACAAAGCTCACATCAGCCTTCACAACGAGCAAAATTCGACATGTATTTCAATTAATCACAGAAGTGTCAAAAAGGTTTAAGGTACTTCACTATTTGTCAAGTTATACATCTTGCATTATAATAATAATAATGGTCTAGTTTAGCAATTTGTAGACCAATACGAAGACAATGAAGAACCTGTCGAATTTCGAGATCTTGCTGCAAAATTCACTAGTGAAATTATCGCAACCTGTTTCTTCGGACTCAAAATTAATACGATAGAAAAGGATGATTCCGAATTACTAAAAATGTGTAAAAAATTCACCGAACCATCGTTAGAAATATCGATAAAGAGATATTTACGCGATTATATGCCCAAAATATTCAAATGGTTATCAATTCGGATAACACCTCTAAATGTAACGTATTAATTTATTAATATTATTATAAATAAACAGAAAGAGAAAAATGTTTGTTCATTATTTATATTGATGATAATGCATCTTATATAGGTTTCTACTTACTTCACAAAGTTAGTGAAAGAAGTAATTGCACACAGAGAAATGCATAAAACAACTCGAAATGATATTATGCAAGCTTTGATAGATTTAAAATGTAAGCAAACAAAGATAGAAGATACGCCAGGACAATCGCAAAACATGGCAGTCGAAGCTAATGATATAGGTATTAGAAAAATATTTCATTTTTCGTCTAAAATACATTTTAAATACAGCTAATTAAATTATATATAATATTTATATATCTATATATAAATCAATATTTATGTATTATAATAATATTATATTATAATCTACGCGTTTTTCGAAAATAACATAATATAATTAGAAAAAAAAAAAATTTTTTATAAGTCTAAATATAATAAATTAATTGAATTTTTAAAAAGATACATGTACATAAAGAATAATCTATTTATATATTTCTTTAAATTATTAATGTGCAATATACATAAAGATTGTTTTGACATGTGTTTTAGTTATCGATGACAAGCTAATCACAGCTCAGGCTTTTATATTTTTTCTGGCTGGCTTCGAAACCTCATCAACGACTATGAGCTTTGCTATGTATGAATTGGCTGCTAATCCTAAGATTCAAGAAAAGTTGTACGACGAAATACAAATTACCTACAAGAAGCACGGCTGTTTCTCTTACGATGCTATATCCGAAATGAATTATCTCGATTGCATCGTTCGCGGTAAGTTTTCATCTGTATGGACATTTTGATGATTAAATAGTGAAATGTAAATATGTTTGCAAAATGTATCGCACAAATCGCAAAATATTTCTAGCGACAGAATTGAATGGTTTCAGTAACAGCTAGTATAAGATCAATAATCACTCACAATCAGTTAATTATTAATACCAGCTCACTCACTAATCTATATAAAATAATTTCAATTTTCACAAATCGTTACTAAAATTAAATTTAAAAGATAAAATAAAAGTTACGTATCAATAATTTCTTATTTATTTCAATTCAGAATAATTAAGTATGTGGTTTTTTAATATTATTATTGCAATCTTTATGTATTATATGAGAAGCTAATTGTAAGAAAAAATAAAATGAGACACATAATTTGATATTTCACGATAATATATCATTATATAATTATGTTTATATTAATAAAGAGATATCGCCAATTTTAAAGAGATGTCACACTTTTAGAAACACTTAGGAAGTATCCACCTGTTGGTATGACACAAAGAATCTGCGAAAACTCATACAGAATTCCGGATTCTGATGTTATTTTAGAAAAAGGCACAAAAGTTATCGTGCCTATTTATGCAATTCATCATGACCCGCTTTATTATAAAAATCCAAATGTATTCGATCCAGATCGATTTATTGGTGAAAATAAGAAGCTTCATGATAATGGCACATATCTACCTTTCGGCAGTGGACCACGCATCTGTATTGGTAATTTATTTAAATATTTAATTATTGAACAGCCTTTAAATAATGTTATCTTGCTCTGTGTACATTAAAATCTCTTACATTTTGCAAAACATTAATACTACTAGAAAAAATTATTTTATTTATGTATCATATACTTGCTTTATATTGTATTATATATAATTATTATTAGTGTATACTTTTCGTTTAATATTTTATTTTTATTGTAAACAGGAATGAAATTTGCCTACCTCCAAACAAAAGTAGGTCTTGTTACTCTTATGGCAAATTATAAAGTGGAGCTAAGTGAAAAGACTGCTATTCCATTACAATTTGAACCGACTAGTTTGACGATCATAAGTAAATTTGGAATATGGTTGAAGATTCATCGTCGTTTACAAGAATAAAAGCTATTTTTATTTATGACAATAAGAAATTATAATTCAATATTGGATAAATCGGAGCAATTTCTTTACATATGAGAATATTAAGTAATTTGGTTTTAAATAAATAAATATATACATATGTATGTGTGTGTGTGTGTGTGTTTTATTAAATTTTTCTAACATATATCGAGCTTTTATAAAATTTATATATGCATCAGTGTGCTGCACAATTAATATGCATAATTTGCAACATAAAATATAAATTATATTTACATTAATCAAGTAATATGGAAATTTATATTTAAAGACTGAAAAGCGAGAAATCAAAACATTTACATATATGTATAGATAAATAATGAAATAAACGTATAGTATTTAAAAAAAACAGAATATGCCAGATTTATAATTAACGGTATATAACAATTTTATTATTGTTTATAATTATATATTTTCACATTTACACATTTATTTATTAAACGTTGATTTTTTTATGTAGCATTATTTTGTGCAATGTGCATTGTAACAGAGAATTAATTGTTTTCGAGACCGTTACGAACTTTAGCCAAGTTATCATTAATTTTGGTTTTTATTCTGTATTCAAATCAATATATAGTGAGATATACTTATTTGATAAATATAATCGTTAAACGTAGTAAAAATAAATTTATTTCTACCTCACCTATCTGTGAGGTCGAAAAAAACATATATTTTTAAGAATTTTTCTTAAACTAAAAAATTTTTCAAAATAAATGATTAATCATTCAAATGTAAACATCTTAAAAATTCTGTAGTATTTTTTTATTACAAAATATAAAAAAAACAAAACAGATATCAGCGATCTCCCCGAGAGCATTTTTTTGTAAGTTTTTTGCAATGACCACTGTAGCTTTGAGCTCGTTTATCTAAAATGAAAAATTCGAGCAAATTTAGTTAGTATATTAGTTTATCTAGTGCCCGATCGTTCATTATCTTAAAAAATTAATTTGGAACAAAGTGGCGGTTGTTTAAAGTTAAAGTATTGATTTTCGACAAAAAGAATCGTTTATTTTTATCTGTAAAAAAAACAACGCAACAAAAAACAACGATCGGGCACTAGATAAACTAATATACTAACTAAATTCGTTTGAATTATTCATTTCAGATAAATGAGCTCAAAGCTATAGTGGTCACCAAAAAAATCTTATAAAAAACTGTTCTTGCTGATATCTTTTTTGTTTTTTGATATTTTTTGTAATAAGAAAAATACTATAATATCTTCAAAATATATACATTCGAATAATTAATTATTTATTTAAAAAATATTCCGTATTAAAAAAAAAAGTTCTTAAAAATACATGTTTTTTTCGACTTTACAGGTAGGTATAACCTTTTGATCACGTCAACTGTAATTATGTAAGATACGATTTCTTTTACCTGATCGAGTGGTCGAGTGTCGACGCATAAATGAGAATAGCACGCTATTATTGACGACACCAAGGCAGAATACATGTTATAATATTAATTTGTTGCAAAAATATTTTACGTACTATATGACATATACGTAAATACATAAAATATTAAATTTAAGCATTTTAAAAGTAGATTTAATATTTATTAAACGATTGATATAGTAATATGAAAATTTTAATAATTATACATATATAGCTATAATGATTAAAACATACTTTTTAAAATAGAAGAAGCGTATTTAAAAATATAGAAAAAAATTAATAAAATAGCCCTCCATTTAATAACAAAAAAACGTTGAAAAAACACGTGACATATACACGACCGTAAAATTATGAAGAAATTAATTATTGCCGCTAATAGTTAAAAACTCTTTTAAAAAGAGCATGGTTAAAAATAAAGAAAATGTTCATAAAATGATCTTCCATTCGATATTATATCATTCATCAAATTTATATCAAATTACGAAAAAAATTATTAATAGTTTTCATAATGAGAATTCTTTAGAAAATAAAAAAATGTGTTATAAAATGCAGGAAAGTCCTAATAGAAATGTTGTCCTTTTAAAAAATAAAATGTCTTAAAAAACACTTGGACACCTTATCATAAAATCTTGTATCCAAAGTCAGTACAATTATAAAAAGTTAATTATTGCTTTTACTGATTTAAATTCTTTTGGGAATACAAACAATGTATTATAAAATGTAGAAAAACCTTAATAAAACTATCTTCCATTTAAGAAATAAAAAATCTTAAAAAGCCGGCGTGCACAACTTATCATTATACCTATATATATATATATATATATATATATACATTTACAAAATTTACCGCGTATCGTTTATACAATGAAACACTTCCTGTTTCATAATTCGGTCTCTTCACTTTAACAGCCAGTAAAATCAATACAGTTATTCAGTTATCAGCAGCTGATCATTTATCATCTATAATTATTCTCATTTTCAATAACGGTAAAGTGGTATGTCAGTTAAACTATAAAGTTTTAAATTAAGAATTAAATTTATAAAAAAAATACAAAATATTTTAATATATAGAACTACACAAATATTGAAATACGTTATAATACAAAATTTAATTAAAATTAATTTTTTTTTAATCATGTAGAAAAAATTATTTATACAATAATTAAACAATAATTTATTAACTTAATGTTATAAATATGTAGGTATTACTTGTACATAATTTTAATTATATACTATATGTTTTAGATAAAATTTCAATAAAAGTTAATGTATTATAACGTTATTAATGTTGGTAAAAATGAATTTGCTGCAAATGTATTTTATTATTATTTTGCAACTTCTACTTTATCATTATTACAACATTTGTTTATCATTATTGTCTATTAGTAATGTAAAAATTTGTGCACTTTTTATAGATTCGATTATACATTCAATACATTATGGTTATATAAACAATTTTTACACATTTAAATATTAATTTTGTGATAATATATTTGAATTGAGCCAAAAGTTTAATATAGTATTGCATAATATTATATTACATAATTTTATATTATACGTCTTAGATAAAATTTCACTAAAAGTCAATGTATTGTATAAAAAAAGACGAAAAGGTAGATTAAATTAAATTCACTATTGTTTTTTAAATATATTTACATAAATTAATATTGAAATATTACATGCAATGACTGATTGTGTGGTATTTATTCACATACATAATGCTGTAAATATCATTGTTAAATAAATACAGAAAGAAAAAATGATACTCCACATCATTTGATGAAAAGAAAGTAACTTTATATCAGACCTTGATCTAAAAAAAACCAGATACATATATTGGTTATGCAAGAGAAAGTATATAATACTGCATTTCTCAATGTAGCTTGCAGTTGTTCGCGCATCTTTCGAATATCAAAATAATATTTCTCGAAGAAACTGACATATTTATAATACAAAACTGAGATAACACACATAAAAATGTAAGTATATTTATAGAAAGTATATCAACGTATATATAATCATTCCCTTTATAAATATGGAAACCTTTTAAATATTTGCTTATTTACAAATCTAAAATAAAATGTGTAAAAAATTATTCGATAATCGACATAATAATATACATACATATATATATATATATATATATATATATATATATATGTGCGTGTATATGTGCAATTCTGTTTATTTAAATTTAAATATAAAAGAAAATTTTGATTTTATTTAACTTCCTTAATTAAAGTTACTTTAATGTAATTATCGTTATAATTTGTATATTTTCAGAAACTTTAATGTTAAACATTTTATGGTATTATAATTCATTAATTATAAACAATGGTTTTATTATTGCTGCTGGTCTCGTCATGCGTTTTACTATTGTACTATTACTACTGGACGAGAATTTATACCTACTGGTTCAGAAGAAACGTGCCTTGTCTTAAATTTTCGTTTTTCGGAAATAGCCGAAATGCATCGATGTTGAAGATTACAGTTGCTGAAAGTCTTCAGATGTTATACAGACAATACGAAGGATATCCGTTCGTCGGGACTTATGAACTCACAACACCGGTTCTTTTGCTGAGAGATCCAAAACTAATAAAATGTGTGCTTGTGAAAGACTTTGCCTGCTTTCAAGGTAAACTTTCACTGCAAAAATCATTTCTTTTAACTTTATTGACTTTATAACACTTTTTTAAATGTAAAAGTATTTTTATCCAATTTGTCTTATGTATATTTAACTTTTTATCATTGCACTAATCAGTTTCTCCGAAATTCGATCTCTCTGTCGATTTTTATCCATATATTTTTTCTTTTCTTATAATTGTAATAAAATTTAGTAATAAATAGTTTTAATTTCCTTAAGCAATAAATAATAAAATTTTAATGTGACTTTTGTAGCATGATAATTGTATTCGAAATAACACAATTACACTTGGTGATTGCAATTATTTATTCGTAGTTCTATTTAGGTCGTGGCATTATGATAAACGAACACGCTGATCCGCTTATGGCACATTTAATTACTATCAACGGACAACGATGGCGAAAATTGCGCACAAAGCTCACACCAGTCTTCACAACCAGCAAAACTCGATATGTATTTGAATTAATCACAGAAGTTTCAGAAAAGTTTAAGGTACCTCACTATTTGTCATATTATAAAGATCTAGCATTACGTTAATAGTAATGGTCTTGTTTAGCAATTTGTAGAGCAATACGCAGACAATGAAGAGCCTGTCGAATTTCGAGATCTTGCTGCAAAATTCACCAGTGAAATTATCGCAACTTGTTTCTTCGGGCTGAAAATTAATACGATAGAAAATGACGATTCTGAAATACTAAAAATGTTTAAAAAAGTCGTTGATCCGTCATTAGAAATAGCGATGAAGCGATATATACGCGATTATATGCCAAAAATATTCAAATGGTTATCGGTTCGGTTAATACCTGTGGATGTAATGTATCAATTTATTAATAATATTATAAATAAACAGAAAGAGAAAGATAATTGTTTATGATTTATATTGATGATATTGAATTTTATACAGGTTACCATCTACTTCACGAAGATAGTGAAAGAAGTAATTGCACACAGAGAAAAGCATAACATAACGCGAAATGATATTATGCAAGCTTTGATAGATTTAAAATATAAGCAAACAAAGATAAAGGATACCACTGGACAACCGCAAAACATGGCATTTAATTCAAATGATATAGGTATCAGAAAAATATTTTATTTTTTGTTTAAAATACTTTCATTTTAAGCACAGCTAATTAAATTATATATTTAAAATATTTATATGTAATTCAATATTTATGTATAATATTAATATTATATTATAACCTGCGCGTTTTCCGAGAATAACATAATATAATTTAAAAAAAACAAAATTTTTGTGTAAGTCTAAATATAATAAATTAATTAAATTTTTAAAAAGATACATGTACACATAAAGAATTATACATTTATATATTTCTTTAAATTATTAATGTGCAATATGCGTAAAGTTTGTTGTTTTGACATGTGTTTTAGTTATCGATGACAAACTAATCACAGCTCAGGCTTTTATATTTTTTCTGGCTGGCTTCGAAACCTCATCGACGGCTATGAGCTTTGCTATGTATGAATTGGCTGCTAATCCTAAAATTCAAGAAAAGTTGTACGACGAAATACAAATCATCTACAAGAAACACGGCTGTTTTTCTTACGATGCTATATCCGAAATGAATTATCTCGATTGCATCGTTCGCGGTAAGTTTTCATCTGTATGAACATTTTGATGATTAAATAGTAAAATGTAAATATGTTTAAAAAATGTATCACACAAATCGCAAAACATTTCCAGCGACAGAATTGAATTGTTCAGTAACAGCTAGTATAAGATCAATGAATCACTCAATTATTTCCAGCTTGGCCTACTAATCTATGAAAAATAATTTCAATTTTTACAAATTATTATTAAAATTAAATTTAGAAGATAAAATAGAAGTTACTTATCAATAAATTCTTATTTATTTTAATTCAGAATAATCACATAGTTTTTATAGCACATGATTTAATATTTTACCATTATAAATCATTATATATAATCATGTTTATGTTAATAAAGAAATGTTGACACAATTTTTAAGAAATGTCACACTTTCAGAATCACTTAGGAAATATCCACCTGTTGGTGCGACACAAAGAATCTGCGAAGAATCATACAAAATTCCCGATTCGGATGTTGTTTTAGAAAAAGGCACAAAAGTTATCGTGCCCATTTATGCAATCCATCATGACCCGCTTTATTATAAAAATCCAAATGTATTCGATCCGGATCGATTCAGTGGTGAAAATAAAAAGCTTCATGATAATGATACATTTCTACCTTTCGGCAGTGGACCACGCATCTGTATTGGTAATTTATTTAAGTATTTAATTATTAAACAACTTTTAAATAATGTTATCTTGCTTTGTATACAATTAAATCTCTTACATTTTGCAAAACATTAATACTACTAGAAAACATTGTTTTATATATTATATACTTGCATTATAATATATTACATGTAATTATTATTAGTGTATACTTTTTGTTTAATATTTTATGTTTATTGTAAACAGGAATGAAATTTGCCTACCTCCAAACAAAAGTAGGTCTTGTTACTCTTATTGCAAATTATGAAGTGAAGCTAAGTGAAAAGATTTCTATACCATTACAATTCGAACCGACTAGTATTACGTTGACAAGTAAATCTGGAATATGGTTAAAGATCCATCGTCGTTTACAAGAATAAAAGCTATTTTTATTTATGACGATTAGAATCTATAATTCAATATTAGTTAAAGGACAATTTATATATATAATACGGGAATATTAATTAATTCGGTTTGAAATATATATATATATATATGTGTGTGTGTGTGTGTGCGCGCTTCATTAAATTTTATAAACAAATATATTATTTTTTAACGTAGTTATGAATCGGAAATTAACAAAAGAATATCGTAAATGTACGATTGATTTTAACGTTTTAAAATATTAAACGTTTCCTTTCGTAAGTATCTTAAATTATTAATGTATTATCGTTTCTTTTCGTTATTAATCTTTCGTTATTGAATATACAAAAATCTATCGTAAATTTATGATAAATGTTCTATCGTTTCCTTTCATAATTATCAAATATTTATTCTTAAAAGCACACATTCAAAAGATGACATTTAGAAGATGTTTAACATTTAGCATGATTAATAATTATAAGTTTCTTTTCTTAATTGTACGTTTAAAAACTTAAAACTTTCTTTATCATAAATATACAATATTGATTACGATAAATTTTCGATCATATTTTTCTCGATAAATTCCAACAAAACGATAAAAAGCAAAATATTATTACTATACGAATTTTATCGTATTTTAACGACTGAATCCAATTTTAACAAAAAATGAAAAAAAAACAAAAGAAACGATAATATTTCTTTGAAAATTTAAAAAGTAAAACAATAGGTTACGAGAGCAAACAATTAAATATTTTACAAATTCTATCGGTTCTTAATGTTCTCTATCGAATTTTTGTATCAGGGATGTCAAATTTTTTGTAAACTTTAAGTATGCATCACTACAAAATTAAGATGTATAATTTGCAACATAAAATGTAAATTGTATTTATATTTCAAGTAATATAAAGATTGATATTTAAAGTCTAAATAACGGAAAATCAAAACATACATGTATGTAGATAAATAATAAACTATACTTATTATTTATAAAAACAAAATATAACAGATTTATAATTAATAATATATAACAAATTTATTATTGTTTATAATATTTTCATATTTGCACATTTATTTATTAAAGTTCATCCCTATTTAATAATGTAGCAATATTTAGTGTAATGTGCATTGCAACAGTGAATTGGTTGTTTTCGAGAGCATTACGAATTATGGCCAAGTATTTATTAATTATGGATAAGGTTTTTGTCCTCTCATCTAAATACATACTTATATCAATTCCATGTTGTTCGGCAAAAGCTTTTATCTATAACACAAGTTAATTTAAAATTCAAGGTATACCTATTACATTGAAAAACAGACTGTAAATATTTCAAATAATATAATATTATATGATAAATAATAAAATAATAGTAATATAAAAATATAGAAATGGTATTATTTTATCTTCAATGTATTTTACTAATAGTCTAATAATATAAAAGTATAATAATGTCATTTTACCTTGTTAATTTGATCCTCCCCGCTATGTATAATAATAAGACGAAGGACAAATTTATCAGTTCGGCTATTATAAAATATATACATTATTTAAAATTGCTTTAAAAATGGTTATTAAACGTTTTTTATTATATCTATCTCTGAGCAAATGATTATCTACATAAATTAATATAAGCAAAACTTATTTAAACACATAAATAAATTTGCTTTGCATGAGTATAATTATATCGTGCATCAACACGTACATATCTTTCAGAAAGAGAAAGACAAAATGTACATTAAGAGAATATTAATTTTATATGAAAAAGAATACTTATTTTATAACAATCTTGTCGAATTTTTTAATAAAAAAATCAATAGTTGGATCGATATTTGACATATTTTGCAACATATTTGTAAAGAGATTATCATAAATATCATATTCTACAAAATAGTATATATTATATTATTAGCCTTTCGACCATGTCTAAATTCTCCGAACAACCAAGAAATTGAAGATGTTTTAGTGTCTCATTTACTTTCTGTACAAATTGATTCCAAATAGATTCATTTGCTTGCATCAGGCCAAAGCAAATAAATTGTTGGTCACATTGTAAAATTCTATATAATACAAAATTAAATTCTTTCAAACGCTAGTCGTAAAATAAATTGACAGAATTATTTTTGACAAAACTAGCAACTTTATGCAATAATATCACAACGTTTCGACCATTGGTTTTGGTCCTTTTCACGTGAACAAAATTATCAAATAAAACATGCGATTATCAGAATAAATTGACCATAGTTCCAAGAAACCGATGTAAATTTGGATATGAAAGACAAACATCTCCTCGATAAAACGATTCGTCACTTACATAAGTAAATCAATATATTGTGATAATCGCATGTTTTATTTGATAATTTTGTTTACGTGAAAAAAACCAAAACCAATGATCGAAACGTTGTGATATTATTGAATAAAGTTGCTAGTTTTGTCGAAAATAATTCTGTCAATTTAAAATTAAAATATTTAAGACTTATAATAACATTAATACACAAAAATCATACCATAAGACTTTCAAATTATATATATATATTTATATATAATAAAACAATGTAATGTGCCAAAAATGAAAATTATTTTCTATTATTCACAGATCTTTTTAACAAACAATTTGTCCGGCAAATTATTACACAACATGTTTTTCAGAAGATGTTTAATATTTAGCATGATTAACAATTATAGGTTTCTTTTCTTAATTATACGTTTAACAACTTAAAATTTATTTTATCGTATATATATAATTGATTACGATAAAAGTTCAATCATTTTTCTCGATAAATTCTAACAAAACGATAAAAAGCAATATAGTATTACTATACAAATTATATTGTATTTTAACGACTAAATTCGATTTCAACAGAAAATGAAAGAAAACGATTAGAAACGATAACATTTCTTTGAAAATATAAAATGTGAAACAATAGGTTACGATAGAAAACAATAAAATTTTTTACACATTCTATTAGTTCTTAATGTTTTCCATCGATTTTTTTATCGAAGATGTCATTTTTTTTGTAAACTTCATATAAGCATCAGTGTACCATAAAATTAAGATGTATAATTTGCAACATAAAATGTAAATTGTATTTATATTTCAAGTAATATAGAGATTTATGTTTAAAGTCTGAAAAGCGAGAAATTAAAACATACATATATGTAGATAAATAATAAAATATACTTATTATTTATAAAAACAAAATATAACAGATTTATAAATAATAATATATAATATAACAATTTTATTATTGTTTATAATATTTTCAAATTTGCACATTTATTTATTAAAGTTCATCCCTATTTAATGACGTAGCATTATTTAGTGTAATGTGCATTGCAACAGAGAATTGATTGTTTTCGAGAGCATAAAGAATTTTGGCCAAGATATTATTAATTTTGGATAAGACTTTTCTCCTCTTAACTAAATACATACTTATGTCAAATTCAAGTTGTTCGGCAATAGCTTTTATCTATAACACAAATTATTTCGAAATTCAAGGTATACCTATCACATTGAAAAACAGACTAAATATTTCCAATAATATAATATTATATGATAAATAATAAAATAATAGTAATATAAAAATATAGAAATGGTATTATTTTATCTTCAATGTATTTTACTAATAGTATAATAATATCAATGTATAATAATGTCATTTTACCTTTTTAATTTGATCCTCCCTGCTATTCATAATAATAAAGCGAAGAACATATTTCTCAATTCCGCTATTAAAAAATATATATTATTTAAAATTGTTTTAATAATGATTACTAAACATTTTTTATTATATTTATCTCTGAGCAAATAATTATCTACATCAATAAATATATGTAATACTTATTTATACACATAAATTTTTGCTCTATATGAGTATAATTATATCATGCATCAGCACGTACATATCTTTTAGGAACAGAAAGACGAAACGTATATTAAAAGAATATTATTTCTATATGAAAAAGAGTTACTTACGTTGCAACAATCTTGTCGAATTTTTTAATACACAAATCAATAATTGCATCTGTATTTGGCATATTTTGCAACATTATTGTAAAGAGATGATCATAAATATAATATTTTTCCAAATAGTCTATATGCCTTTCGACGATGTCTAAATTCCCCGAACAACCAAGAAATATGAGATGTTTCCGTGTCTCATTTCCTTTCTGCAGCACAAGATTCCAAATAGATTCATTTGCTTGCATTAGGCCAAAGCAAATGAATTGTTTGTCAGATAATTGTCTATAATACAAAATTAAAATTAAAATATTTAAGACTTGTAATAACATTAATACACAAAAAATCATACCATATGATTTTCAAAATATATATATATATATATATATATATATATATCTAATAAAAAAATGTGATGTGCCAAAATGAAAATTATTTACTATTAATCACTGATCTTTTTAACAATCAATTTGTTCGGCAAATTATTACGCCACATGTTTTTATGTTAATAATTATATAGCATTAACTGTATTTATGAGCAGCATGTTATACATTATGTAAGGCAACAGTATTTATGCCTTATATCATTTTGAACATACATACATGCTATCTTGCTTTAATAAAGCAAAAATATAATTCAAAAATATTTTTATATATTTTAAAATATCTTTATATATAAATCTAATTGTTAATTGTTTTCATTTTATACAAAGAATTGGCATTATCTGATCTAATTTTATGACGTTTAAAATAAAACCAAATTTGTTGAATTTATTTGTCATATTCATATTTCTTAGATAACATAATAAAAGCTCACAAATTTCTTGGACCTTCCAAATATGCAAGTAATTTAGCGGTAGCTTTTGCTCGACATTTGTCAAGCATGTCTGGATATATGTTGTATAAACAAACAGTTTTCATGAAATCTGCCCTAATTTTTATAGTCGCAGGATCATCATCAGAATGCTCGTCGAAACCAATATGTTCAAATAGCTTATGCGTCAAGTTGAAGAAATATGGCTTAAAAACATTTTATAATGATCAAACAATTTAAAATGCAATAACTTAATTCAGGATAGTTTTTTTTCTAATAATTATTCTACTAATCATTAAATATTTAATTTAGAAAAA